ATTTCTTCCTTGATAGAAGTAGAGTGATCCAGGAGACCATTTTCCAATTTTTCCAGTTACCTGAGCTCTAAGGACACCTTTAAAGATCTGTTCATCCCAAAACCAATAGTACCTTCTAGACGAGAATCCCAAAACACTTCACAAACATGAACTAAGCCTCATAATATGCCCGTGAAGTGGTGGTTTTGCAGATAAGAAAACCAAGGCACAGAGAGCTTAAGTGACTTGTCCAAGGTCACACACAGCACCTGTGGTAGATATAGGAACACAGTCCATGTCTCCTGATTCCTAGTCCTGTGCTTGAGCCTCAAGAGCATCCTTCATCTCATACACCACCATATACTAACCTTTACTCCAAACTGATCCCCAAAAAGGTAGACTGAACAGAGATTCAAACTTTTCAGTTTGGAGAACATCCTACGTATAGCAATACAAAGGGCTTAAAAACAATCCACTGACTTGCCAGAGATTAACAGAATATCCTGTTGAGTAATGGAGCTCAAGCCAAAAATGTCTGCCGCTTTTATTTTTAAAAAAAGTTTCTATTCCCCGTGAATGCAGAAATAACCTTCCAGATCAGAAGAGTTTCTGCATCAGTTCCTGAGTCTGCACACAGACAGCTGCAGTGTCTTTGCTTCTGCTTATAAAGTAGCTCTTGCATGCAGCAACAGAGTAAAATTATGACAACACTGTAAAATTATGACAACATACTACTGTTCAAGTACCTGTGGGAAGCAGTGAAACTAGAAAGAATCATGCCACTTGCATCAACAGAGTGTAACTGTTTGGGAAAGCTACAGGCAGTAGCAGAGGCAGGCACTGGAGTTATTAGCATGGAAGGAAAAATTTAAAAATTAAATGCAATATTTGGAAAGAGAGAGGACACAACTGATAAGATGGAGTCACAATACTTCACTTCCAGTAGGAAATGCAGATGGGCCAAAGCCAGAATATCATGACTCTTGAAGTTTCTCAGGGAGAAGCGTTCAGATTTGAATCTTCACGCCAACAGTTTTGGTTCTTGGCTGAATCCAAAGCCAGAAGGGCCAAATCTCTGGGCCTGGTTTGAATGCAGCCAGAAATCTTACGAAAATAAGCTTCAAATCCAAGCCTGAGCCTAAATATCCTCATTTCTTTCTAGTAGAGCCAGGTGGTGGCACATCATTATATTCAGGTATTTCTGCACATCTTTGATTCAGTGACCAGGAAAAACAAACAAACAAAAACTTATTTGCCGGCCAACCTTAAAAAACAGAATATAGCAATCCAATGCAGCAGATATTAATACTCAACTATAATTTAATATTTCAGGAGCCCGTTAACCAGCAATAACTTATCCATCTATTCATTATAAAAATGCTTTGCCAAGATCACTAAAAATAAATCACTGTGGTGGCACTTTGGCAGCTGCTGGAAGTTACCAGGACCCAAAGCAAGACTTACTAACCTAGGCTCAGATGCTGCAATTAGATCCATGCAAACGACCCCGAGTCAAGGGATCTCCACGTGGGTGAGCCAGGGGCTTTGGGCAAGAATCCAACTGCAGGATCCTTGTTAACACACGCGTGGGTGCACCCACGCTGCATGCCCAGGCCAGGAAACGCTCTTCCTGCTGGCGGAGGGAAGAGAACATTCCGGTAACACCAGGGGGCTTCAGAGCAAACAGGAACAGGGCTCGCTCGCCAACATGACAAGAGAAGCGGAATCTCCAGGGCACGCCGCAGTGTAACGGTCCAGCTGCACCACACAACCACTTACCCAACACCATTAACACGTACGATTAGACGGATGCTATAAATATGCAAGCCTGGTGCGCAGGGGAGAGAGGAAAAATGGGGGGGGGGGGCAGAAGGTGTCCCCTAGCCCACTGTTCCCACAACTTTTTACTCGCCTGTAACGGCTGGACTAAAGCATTCCCACTCCTAGATGTCTTTCACACACACTTGTTCGCACCATTGCCATGTCCCCAGGCAGCGCTGCAGCCCTTCGCAGAACAAGGCTGGACCATGGGGCGGGGGTAGGGTGACCAGATGTCCTGATTTTATAGGGACCGTCCTGGTATTTTGTTTTTTTCTTATATAGACGCCTATTACCCCCCCACCCCGTCCCGATTTTTTCACACTTGCTATCTGGTCACCCTGGGGGTGGGGGACAGGCTCGCACTGGGGATTTTCGGGTGTTGCAACCCCTCCCCCAACCATTACTGGGGTCTGTCAACCAGAGGGTCCCACACCCACCCTCGGTCACGCTCTAGCCACGGGGACACGGCAAACCTCTCACCACTAGGTCCCCTGGGCAGCGAGAGCAATCCCCGGCGCCCAGAACCTCCCTACCTCGCTTGCCATGCCCTGGCGAGGGGCACATCGTCCCGTCCGAGCCCCGCCAAGGGACCCTGCAGCTGCGCGCCCCTCCCTGGGACCCTTAGGAACCAGCAGTTGCTGGGGACACAAAGGCATCGCTCCTCCAGGGATCCCCCCTCCTACCTGCTCTGCCTCCGCGGGGAGCCTGGCCCGCAGCCCCTGCGTAGGGATGGAGCGAACCCCCGGCTCGGCGAGAACCAGCGGCGTGAGAATCCGCGGGTCCGGCTGGGCTCCTCCGCCGGTTTCTAATTGCTGGCGCTGGGCAGGAGAGGAGGGGCTTGGGCGGGTTTGAAAGGAGCCGGGCTGCAGGGAGAAGGGGTGGAGTCAGGCAGAGAGAGCTCAAGGCACCACCCATGCAAAGGAGGGAGGAGTAGGGGGCTGGAGAAGCCTGGGCAGGGACAAGGAAAAGCTGCTCTCTATCCCTTGCTTGAAGCACAGCGCTTCCCCTTTCTCCTCCTGGCTGCTAGGGAAATACGCTTGTTCAGAGAGACTAGGGGAGCAGCTTGGAACAGGGGCTGGGTGGTTGGTGCCTTGCTTTGGTGTTTTTTTGTTTTTTTAAAGCACAACTTAGTGAAACCTGAAGGGAGATCGGGTCCTGCAAAACTAGCCTTACTGCAGAAGTAACTAATTCTTCTTGGTGTAAAGCGACGAATTCCCTCCGCTATCTTAAAACACAGCGAGCTCGCTAACTACGAACCTTTTTTTAGGCTCCGGCACCTGGCGATGTTGCTGATTGCTGCTTCTGGGGGCTGGCTGGGGCCACCTCGCACCCAGCAGTTTCTCAGGCCTTGAATATGTGATTGCTACTGCAGAAATATTCAAGGTGAGCCTACAACCGCTTAAGCCCGTTTCAGTGTTTGCCGGATGAAAGCCTTCAATGTGCAAAGACATTATTTGTTATCTTCCGTGACTTGCACTGTTGCATGGGAACTTAGGAGAAACAGTCTTACCAACTATCCTTCATTCCTATGCCAATCTGAGATGAGATCATTAACGTATGGGATAAGTGCTCTGCCTCCTCTGTGTGTGTGTGTGTGTGTGTACATATATATAAAAATTTGGTTCCTGTTGCAAATTAATGTTTTGTGGGAGGAGGAGCTCAATAGTCCTTGGGATAAGGGAAGGGAATTAGATGTCTAATGGTGAAGTACTGCATTAAAGGGGCTCAGCTCACTCGAAAGTTGCAGCAGTGAGGTGTATACCCAAATTAATTTTGAAAAATGCAATAAATGAAAGTGAGCGCACTAGGATCTTTATAATAAAGACCTATGCAAACCCACTACTCTAAATCTATGTTTTTTCTGCTACTGGAAAGCATCTGCAATAAGGTTCAAAACCAGATCAATGCAAATCATACCATGGTCTTAGGGACTCCCATTCATCTGATTATTTCAAAGCTAGCCAGCTGTGAGAGGGAGTGGTTCTATGTGCTATTCCTATTTCTATGGTCAGATGAAGCTACTGTTCAAATAACTAGGGCCATGCAGGACTCAGGTATATACTGGCAATAGGGAAGAGCTCACTACCAATACTTACTTTTCTGCTGCTTCAGTGGAACATGAACCAGTTAGAAATAGAAGAATACAAAAAAATTAAGTTGGAAGAAACAAGGGGAATATCTCCTTCCATTCCTTCTACCTCTTACTGTTTCATGTTCCACTGGAGCAGACAGAAGAGTAATTATTGGTTCTGAGCTCTTCTGAAGAATAAGAGTGAAATTCCAATGAAATGGACATAAATGTTGCTTTAGTCTTCTGTGAACTGTTAGAGCTCAAATCTGTATTGGTACATTTGATTTCCTAATCTGTTTTGTAAGTTTCACTTACTACTTCAAGGAGGGGGAAATGTCAGTCATTTAAAGATCAGGAAAGCTCAGACAACCCCCTGTTGTACCTAGAAGCTACAGCTCACATTAAAAATAGTAGCAGGCTGTAACTACCATTCCACTCCACTGGCACCTATCTTAAATATTTAAACTGGCCCATCTTCCTGAGACTGTGGTGTCAGACACCTGCCAAGCCAGTGATTGGTACATACACACCACTGTGAACTGGGGAGAGAGAACAGACCTTCTTCCAGTCACTTTCCCACTGTGACTGCACTGATTTAGCATGGTCAAACTGTGAGACAAAATCTTTTACTCATCCTCATCAGAGTGTTCTAAAAGGAGAATCATCCCAGCCCTATATTCACCTTCCAGGTGTGGATACTTTAATTAGCCCCAGCCATCTGAGGAATGACAAGTAAACTCTTCTTAAATAAACTATTTATTCAATCTTGTGCAGTTTGCCACATGCTTTATTTAGAATTTAGCAACCAGAGAAGTCCCAGGAAATGTAATAGCTGTTTTTTATAAGTGTCTTAGGAGAAGACAACATACACTCAAGACATGCTGCATCAATAGCATAGGTTAATACAATAATTCTGCAGTCCTTTCATGTACTTCTATGCAGGGCAACTTATTTACAGAACTTCTCTAGGAAAAACAAAGGTTCTTTCAAACTCTGTGAATGCTTTGATTGCTGAACAATGATACAGCTTGTGTGTGGTTGTGATCTGCTGCCCTTTTAAAGATTTGTCAAGAACTTATTGACCTCAATGCAATAGTCAGTTTCCCTTCTGCTTATAATGTGTCTATCAGGTATTCCCTTAGGGCACAAATTAGGGGCTCCCCACATTTTCATCAGCCCTACGATCCCTGCACCTAGTAGAGGCAATTTAAATTTCTGAGTGCAAATGTACACCTTTGGGGCACAACCTGACATATACACAAGATGCTAAGTGCTTAAAAAGAATGCACCAGGAACACTGGGCAGGAATGGAGAAGTCTTGTGCCCAATGTCTCTGTATATTGTGTAGCAATGAACCCATTAGCAATCTAAGGTAGGTTTGTTCCATTTCTCAGGAGCTGAGAACTGAAAAATCTGCTAATCTCTAATATTTGGGGTCTTACAAGTTAGAGACCAAAAAAAAAAAATGGGCTGATTGAAATATGAACCATTATTTTCTGTCATTGGAGCGTAATGGTGCTTGAACAATCAACAGACGTTCATTGCCTTAAGTGTTTGAAATGAGGTTGGTGCTGGCAAAAGGTGTCAGCTCAACTGACAGTACTTGGTCTATTGATATTATCCACATGGAAGCGAGTTGTGATGTGTGTGTGGATGCTGTGTGTAGATTAAAAGAAAAGAAAAAAACAAAGCAACACATAGTCAAGATTAGAGAATTCCTATGCCTCTGCTCCACATTAACAGCTCTCAAGGACATTGAATAGGTTACTGCTAGTGGCAACATCCCCACTTGTTTTATTTGCACACCAATGTAGTTCTCCAGTTTGGAACCACCATGCATATTGCTGCATCACTTTGCTTCAGTTTTCTCATATCTCCTCCCAGTGAATGAAGCAGACAGCCCTCTGATATCTAGTCTCAGGGAATCCAAGATTTTCACCACCTTTTCTCTCAGCAGGGTGAAAAGCTGAGCTGTGCAGATAACCAGAGATGATGGCAGCAGCTGAATCGTCAGGACATTAGAGATCTCGAGCAATTGGCAGCCAAAGTTCCAGATGAGAGAAAGAAGCAGGGTGCACAGTAGCTAGCAGGAAAAAGGGGGAAAGAGATTTTTCCTGGTGAAGACATTATTTAAACTGATGGCATTTCCAATGGGATATAAAAGGTGTAAGACCACAATAAGCATCTGGTTCTCCCCCCACATTCCCCCAGCAGACCTGGCACATAGTAAGGAACTGCTCTAAATCCCCAGTCCCCAAGCTACTCCACATAGACAGACCCCTGAAGAGCCCCACTGAAGTCACTGGATATCCAACTGCAGGATCAATACACAAAAAGCAAGATCAACAGAAGATTTATATTCATGTACTTTATAACAGGTTTTTATAGCATTTGAAAGATATTTCCTACTTTACTGACATGCCAAGACCCCACAGGAGTGGATGATGTCATAAATACTTAGAGAACAGGTAGCACTGCATTCTGTGCTCTGAGTTAGATGCTTGGGACTTCAATACCAGCAAGGAAATTGGAGAATCCTGAATTCAGATCTTGTCAAGTAAGTGAAGAGGGCAAAATAATTTTTGAAGGAAGAGCCTGTATCTGTAATTTTTAGACTTACATATATTCCATTATTTGGAGTCTAGAACAGCTTTAAAAACTATATTATCAATACATTCAAAAGTTACATGCTGATATGTTATATCAAAGGGAGTTTGTATACACAAGTGTAGCCTTTAGCTGAATCAGATCACTGAGAAAACTAAAACAATGAAAGCTACTGTTTACGTGTTGTGTCTGCCTTTTGAACTAGAGTAGCTCTGCAATGCTCAGAATATTTTTTTTAATATATAAAGGCACTCGTGTGTGTCCTTACATAGCACCTTTAACTACTACCTAGAACAGGAACCATTGGAAATGGAGAAGAGTTTGGTATGGAACAGACACAAATAAATTGCTTAATCAGCAGGGCAGAAAATAGCAATCAGAATCTGAGTTTGGTTGAGGTGGTGGGGAGGAAGAGACAGGCATGAGACACACACAAAAACAGCCCTCACATAAAGAGCTGGTATGGCTGGTCCACTCACCATTATGGTATTATACAGGGTATTCTTCTCAAAGCGACATAGCCTTGTCCCCTGGGCCCATGACAGACCATCCGAGATTGCAGTAAAGAGGCCTTTCGTTTGGACTCTTGGTTTTGAACTCAGATAAGCCGGCTTGGGCCCCATAGGGGCCTTCATCCACATGTCCTTTTGGAACTCCATAGCAGGCATCTCACTCCATCTTTTATTCCCTGGGGACTCATTCTCAGATTTAGGGTCTGCATTGTCATCAGACTGATCAGAAGATGGCTTCTTTATTTCTTTGGCACAGGGCAATTGGGCTGAAAACAATGTTTTTTAAAGTTAAATGTAAAGTAACTGTATGGGGTTGGGGTGGGAAAAAAAGAGAACAGAAGTGTTAAGTATTAGGGTACAGCAGCTGCATTTAAAGTATGGCTCTGCTGTGAAAAATTACTCTAGAAAGTTGCATTGTGGGATGCCATTTGTATTGTGTCATAGTGATTTCTATTTCAAATGTGTTCAGGTTACAAGTTAGAGATTTGTTTTCCTTCTCTAACTGCTAGTCCTACAAGCTCAACCTGGGGTCTGAGACTCAAGTGGGGTTCCTTATCTCTAGCATATCACCACCCATAGTCGAGGTTTTGGAAGCCAATCTAGGCTCTCATACACTTGTACATTACTATGAGACTGAACAAATGTAACCCTAGAGTTTAGTGAGCGATTCTCTTGAGGTCTGAGTAGAATCCATCTCACTCTCCCACAGTTGTGCTGACTCCAAAGTTAGATGCTGTAAAATACTACGAAACATTCCACGCCATGCTAGTTATGCTGATATGACTGAATAGACCAGGTAGGGACTAAGAAGGGTCATTTTACATAGCCTGTCGACTTACCTTACTCTTCTCATCAGGGGTAGAGTACAGGGGTCGACTGGAGAGCGATCTGCTATCGATTGGCGGATCTTCCCTAGACCCGCTAAATCAACCGCCGGTGGATCGATATCAGAGCGTCAATCCCGGCTGTAGTGTAGACCTGCCCTGAGATTTATACTGGTGGACTAGCTTCATCAATGTAGCTATACCAGCAACCCACTAGATGCATTGTACTAGTGTAAACTGTCACTTGCCCTGGGGCAGCTTATGCATACCCACACCTCCACACAGAATAATTTGAAATGGCAATGAACTAATCATGTATGTATAGCCATAGCCAGACCATTATATAAATACACATATATGCACACAATTAGGCCATGCCCTCAGCAGCATTTCCATTCCACCTAGGTAACTTTGTGCTACCATCACCCCTAAGTCCTGAACCTTTCAATCACCCCCACAGTTCAGTTATATTATCCATAACAGTAAGCTTCAGGGCACACATAACAGGACTTTACTTACATGGTAACCAGTGGGCACTGAAATATGGTTGTCACCTGCCCTGGTTTGACCAAGACAATACCAGTTGTAGTCTTTGTCCCAGAGCAATCTAACAATGGATCCAAAAATCCCCAGGTTCTTCCCTCAGCAAATCAGGACAATAAAGTGGTGAATCTTAGTTTCTGCAAAGGGGGACTCCAAGTCAAAATATAACATGTGGGTGTCTGTGCACACACATGAGGGGATAAAGGATGGTTGAAGACTATCATCCTCCTTAGCTACCAGTACTTCTCATTCTGCTGCTGCCACACAGTCCAGTAAAATCCATTCTCACTATTCCCACAGAACCCACTACAGGACTGGGCCTTACACGATTGAAAGAAAAGCAAATTGCATCAATTTGACTGAAGACATGTTTTACATTAGACTTTATTCTCTTTGAAGGCAGTGCCTTCAAGGGAGAAACACTCTTTCTGAGCCTAGAATTGATTCCTGTGCTCTAATCTAATCCAGTCAATTACACTCCAAGGTTAGAACTAACAATGCCTTATCCCTTCAGGGACATCAGCAAGCCTGTTAGCCACTGATATATGAGAAGGTGGAGAAATACCAAGGGGGGAATCCCGAAGAGAAGGGAAACACATCAATAAATGAAAACAAACACTTTTCTCTCTTGCAAAAGCTTCCTTTCAGTCCCTGTACTATTTGACAAGGCATCAGTGCTGGCACTCCTAAACAATATCATAAGTGACTGAGGAGAAGAGTAAATACCCAATAGTTATGAGATAATTCCATAATATTTGAGGTTTCACCACAAAAAAAGGAGGGGAGCTTTATTTAAAATCCACAAAACACTCTTCCACAACTTTGTTAAGTTAAACCATTGCTTTTCAAAGAAAGATTAACAAAGAGAATCCACCATTAATAACAGGTCCTTCTAGCTAGACATTCTTGACTGATAAAACATCTTATACTGAGCTTGATTTTCCACATACAACCTGCTGCACTGAGAAAGCCTTTAGTTTCTTTAGGAGACAAGCTGCATTAGCCTAAAAATAGCTAGCGGAGTGCTGTAAAAGGAAAGCTAATACTTAAAGCCTTTATACAAAAGCATTTATCTATCTGATAGTAAAACTTACCTTCACTGAGTAAAAGGTGAAGCCAGATAATCAGTAGGATCAACAACAATCCAAATGGCAAACAAAACCAAAAAAAGAGAAGAGGAAAGGTCAAATCATTCACCAAAGGAACCAGAGGATACCTCATAGCTAGTTTCAGGTCAAGCTAAGACTAAACTCAGTAGCTACCTTTTGGTAGCATCACAGTCTGTGTCACAAAAAGACTATGCTGTCATTCTCAGCTTAGCTAGTATTTAGGACAACCCCTAGCCCACTGAGGAAGGAAACAAAAAGGATTAAGGGCAGGATGAGAAAAATAAACCGGAAAGAATCTGGTTTAATTGCCCCTCCTTATATTTGCAATTAGAAGATAGCCATAAATTATGAGCCCTCCAAAGCCTATAAAAATATACTAACCAGTACTTCCATGCCTACTGTAAAAAAATAGATGACAAGGGACTTTAATATTTGTCAAAAACAAGGTGACTAGCACATCTTCCAAGGAAAGAAACCACTGCAATCAGAATCCAACCTACAGAGATGGCTAAAGAAGAAATCTTATATTTATTGAAAAGTTCTTATGTCAGGCTCCCACAACTGAGATGAGCAATAAGCAATTTTCAGAGAAATGATGGATAGATAGTATAACCATCTCAGTATGTTTGAATCCCTTTGTGATTCTTTCCTTTCCTTGACAAGTATATTAGTTAATAAGATCACTGTCCTGTAACTATTCTTTTTTTCCTTTTTTTTCCTCTTAAGAAAGGCAAAATAATTCCTTTTTATAGGAATTGTGGGTTTTAGCTTATTTCTAATCACAAGGGAGTTTGGCAGTGATTAGAGCAGGAATTCTAGGAAAGAAGCCCTCGGTCTCTCATTGACCTATGGTGCAACTGTGGAAAAATCACTTAACTTCTCTCTGTGTGTTTCTCCATCAGTCAGATAAAACCATTACTAACCACTCATCTCTCAGGGGGGTTGTGTTGCTTAATTAATTGTTTGTATAGCACTTGGAAAAAATTTCAGATGAAAGGGGGTATATATGTGCACATTACTAATATTTGCATGCTTTTAATTTTCTTGTTTGTGTATACATTTGTTTTCTACAATATTCACAACCTTTTGAATTTTTTATCACAGGTTCTCCAGGTGCTTTGTAAATTCTAATTAATGAAACCTGACAACACCCCTGTGAGTTTGGGAAGTCTTGTTATTCCTACTTTGTACCCTGAGTAAACAAAGAAATCAGTGACCTGAGTTTCAAAGATGCCGAGTATCTGCAGCTGCCATTGACTTTCATAGGAATTGTAGGTACTCAGCATTTCTGAAAATCAGGCTATTAGTAAGTTGCCTAAGGCTAGATAGTCAGTCAGTGCTAGAGGGGGAACAAAACCCAAGACTTCTGACTCAGGTTTCTTGCTCTAACTAGACAATGCTTCTCTTAGTTACCTGTATACTAAAAATTTAGTTACAGTAAATATTTCTAAAGAAAAACTGTACAATTAAGGCTTTGAGATAAAGTATTAAAAATATTTGACTTTCATAATTTTTAGTTGGAAGGGCTTACGGGGAAAGCGTAGTCAGAAAAGACTCTACTCTGATCCTAGCATCATGAGTTGTGAAACTGAGAAGGGTGGCAAAACTTGGCTTTTAAACCAGTTTTACCAGGTGTGTCCTTCCAATACTGAATTGTTGCTTCTTGTAGAGCTCTTCCTTCATATAATTCTTCAAGAAAGAAGAAGGGGGAGGGATAGATCAGTGGTATGAGCATTGGCCTGCTGAACCCAGGGTTGTGAGTTCAATCCTTGAGGGGGCCACTTAGGGAATCTGGGGCAAAAATCAGTACTTGGTCCTGCTAGTGAAAGCAGGGGGCTGGACTCGATGACCTTTCAGGGTCCCTTCCAGCTCTATGAGATAGGTATATCTCCATATATTAAAGTACTCATCCTTAACATTATCCTTCTTGGAAAGCTGCTTAGAGTGACTTTTACTTTAGCCACTACATTTTAGGGCCCCTTTGATACCCAAAATCTTCCGGTTTGTCACATTTATTCTCTGAAGTGCTAGACACGCTAACACGATAGAACCGTGTTATGGGCACCTGAGAAGCAAGAAAGAGGAACCAGATCAAACAGAAGTGAAACCGACGAGTCTGTTTTCACCCAGTGCTAGCAGTAAAGAAATGATAAAAAGTAAAATTTGATTTTAAAACTTTATCCATCGGAAATAAGCCGTTATTAGTAACAGTGGGATTTCACACTAACACAATCAAGACGTTTTTTAAAACAGTCCGATGGTTTTTATCTCGATAAACATTACTTGAAGTTCTCTCTCTTTTATGGACTCTGGCTTAGGGAGTGCTATGAGCCTGTTGTCCCACATGCTCTGCCAGCGGGATTAATGCAGAGGAGGCCACATACAAAGCATTAAGCCTTCGCGAAGGTTGTCAGTAGCTGCCTACCCCCACCCCGAGGCCCGTTTCACCCGCCCCGCTGCACCCTGAGCTCCGCCCGGCCCGGAACGCTGGTGGCGGGCTCCTGTTCCCGGCCGGAGGGAGCGCGGCAGCGGCGGCCGCGGGATGGCGGCGGCGGCGGGGGGCCTGGTGTTCCAGTTCCGCGATGCCCGCTGGCTGCCGGACCCGGTGCTGGGGCCCAGCCCGGCCGTGCGCACGCCGCAGCCGGTGCCGCTGGTGATCGATAACGGCTCGTTCCAGGCGCGGGCGGGTTGGGCCTGTCCGGACCCCGAGGTGCCCGGGGAGCCGCTGCTCCGATTCCGCTCGCTAGCGGCCCGGAGCCGGGGGGCCCGGGGCGGGGCTGGCACCGAGACCCAGGTGGGCAACGACCTGGGCAGCCCCGAGCCGCTGCGCTGGCTCCTCCGCTCGCCCTTCGACCGCAACGTGCCTGTGCAGCTGGAGCTGCAGGAGCTGCTGTTCGACCACATCTTCCAGCGCCTGGGCGTCTCCTCGCAGGTACCGCCCGGGGGCAGGGTCCGGACGTGGGGAGACCGGGGAGGGGTTTGAAACCTGGGCCCCGCGGGAGAGCAGGCTCGGGGGCGCTAGGCCCAGGAGGGGGTGGGGACCAGATGAAACCCAGCAGAGAATGGGAGATGGAGTCTGGGCAGAGGGGTGAGGGGCATGGCTTGGGATGGTTGTGGGAAGGAGGATCCGGGAGGAGCAGAAGTGGAGAAGAGTTTCTGGTATCGCTGTTTGGGGGGAGGGGGAGGATCGGCACTGGGCGTTGACGGGGGTTGGGATCGGGATGGGGAGACTGAAGAGCTTGGGGTGGGACAGAGTTTGTGGCTGAGCAATAACGGAGGGAAATGGGGGAGTTCTCAGGTAAGGCTGCTGGTGGGGTGAGACGGCCAAGGTACGGAACAGGGTATGTGTTACGGTAGGAAATCCCAAGGCATTTCTAGGTTTCCCTTTAGCGGGCTGTGTTCTGATTGTGTCCATTGTCTTGGGTTCTTTGTTGTAAAACGAAGCTGCCCAGTCCATCCTGCACTGAGAACTGCACCGGGAGTGGGGCATTGACTTCAGGGAGGCTCTGCAGAGTTCTTGATGCAGGATCTTGGTTGAGAACAGTTGTTTAGAGCCCAGCCTCAAGCAAAGAGATTTGGGGGTCTAGCTGAGTGGCCATCCGTCCTTGACCTAGTTGTCTGTCTTATATATCAGACTGCATTTTGTTTGTATAGCCCTTTACCATATTGTGTGCAAAAATTCCAGCCCTTTTAAGCCTTGGGTAAAGCTTTCAAAGGAGCCTATATCCCCACTCACAATGAGACTTAGATTCCTAACTGCCTAAATCCATTTTGGAAATGGGAGTTGGGATCTTAAGTTACTTAGATACATTAAAAATCTCTCTTTTTTTCCTAAAATTAGGATCCAGCCCATTATTCTCTACTAGTTGAAGTAATGGTGGAATGTATAGGGTAGACAGGGCTCAGGTGTTTTCATTACTTGGTCACTTAATCCTGACTTTTATGGTAGTTTGTAAAAAAAAAAAAAAAAAAGTATACCAATCATTGTACTGTCTTGCTCGGAGCTATTGCTGGTACCCATAAGTATTTGCATTATGCTCCTTAAGTAGGGCTGAGGATGACTAATAAAAGATATATGCAGATAAAGAGTGAAACTACTTTTCATTTAAGTTCTATATGCAAAATAACTAGAAATGAGAAAAGACCCATCTGTATTATGTGTTGATCACATGAACATCATAATTCTCTTATTATCTTCTCTGTTCCATGGCTTTGCTACAGGGTTGTGTTGACCATCCAATCGTTTTAACAGAAGCAGTGTGCAATCCTCTATATTCGCGGCAAATGATGTCGGAGCTCCTGTTTGAATGTTACCAGGTCCCAAAGGTTTCATATGGAGTGGACAGTATGTACAGCTTCCACCACAACAGGAGGCAGGACTGGCCTTGCAACAGCCTGATAGTGTCTTCTGGTTATCAGTGCACGCACATTTTGCCAGTCTTAGAGGGCAGGTGAGTGACGCTCTAGCACAGGTGGCCACTGGTTTCTACAAAGTGATGCACAGCGGCTCTTATTTTGAATACAGAAGTGCAGGCAGCAGATACAACAGGTTCCCTCATTGTGTGTCTTGCTCCAAACAGATGCTGGGACCTGAACTCTTTGCAGGCTCAAATGTCTATTAAAGACAAGAAAGGATGGGTGCGGTCAACCTTCCAATAGCAAGATTTGGAGATTTGGGCTCTAATATACTTGAATGCTGGGGTGAAGCATACTCTTTGTGGAATACACACAATGCATTTCTTTATTGTTACAGTGCATAAATCCATGTTTCTAAAATAAAGGAGCAAGATAATCTTTCTACTAGTAAAATACCAGACACAGTAGAAAAGGTACATATGTTGTGTTTACTGTGATTGTTTAGACAATCAAAAAGACTGGGTCAGACTTGTGAAGCCCTCACCTGGGCTTTGCCATACTGATCAGACCATTGATCCATGCATTCCTGTATCCTTCCTGCAGTAAGTGGTCCTGTGGTCTATACTTGATGCTTCAGGGAAAATCAAACTTTGTTCACATGATCCACATGGCCAGTTGTGTAAAGCTGTATGGGGGCTTTCTCTAGCAGTCAGTTACTCCATGAAGTAGGAAAATTTGGGCTTCTATTAGACAGCATAGCTAGACACATTGTTTTTCACAAAATAGTCTAGTCCAGTGTTTCTCAACCAGGGGTACACATAGCCCTGGGGGTATGCAGAGGTCTTCCAGGAGGGTTCTCAACTCCTTTAGATCATTGTTTCTCAACCTGGGGGTTGCAACCCCCAGGGGGATCACAGGACAGGTTTAGAGAGTCGCAAGTCAGGGCCAGCCCTAGGGGGTGGCAAGCAGGGAAATTGCCTGGGGTACCACGTCATAGGAGGCCCTGCAAAGCTAAGTTACCTGCTTCAGCCCCGGGCGGCAGGGCTCCAGCTTCAGACATGGCTCACAAGTGAAAAACAGGCTCAAGTATCACACTGGAATGTAAGTGGAATATAAATATGATAATCAATTTATTTTATAATTATATGGTACAAATGAGAAAGTCAGCAATTTTTCAGTAATAGTGTGCTGAGACACTTTTGTATTTTTGTCTGATTTTTGTAAGCAAATAGCTTTTAAGGGAGGTGAAACTTGGGGTACGCAAGACAAATCAGACTCCTGAAAGGGGGACAGTAGTCTGGAAAGGTTAAGAGCCACTGGTCTAGTTGAGGTGACTCTGAACCTCTGTGGCCATGGATTCTGCAAGCTGATTGTACATTGGGGGAAGATTAATCCACTGTGACCAAGTATTTCCTTATGGTGTTAATTTTGTGTTATATGCTCTGTTGATAATCTCCTGCGACTCTTGTATTCAAGTATTTCTTAATCAATTTTTCCCCTTTCCAGTATTTTCCCCCACCTTTTTTTTTAATGGAGCTGAAACTAATGTGACTGTAACTGTTTTGAGTCCCATTGCTTTAGAAGTGTTGTGATCCTGTGGGATTTCCAGGTCTTTGATATTTTCCCTTCAGTAAAGCCAATTCTACAGCTGTTCTGTCCCCCCGCCCACCCCTGACCTCCCAAAAACCCAGCAAACCAAAACAAGATGACAGTAGGGGCTCTTTGCAAAAACAAAAATGAAACTTTCAAAGCTTTTTGAATATTGCCTATAGTTGGTGGTAGCAAAGTTGTTGGATCTGCTATGTATTTGCCTACTTATTTATAATCAATATTATTTCCCTTGTGATTTAAAAGAGATGTTTCATGCTGTGAAGTTCTGGACTTCTCTAGTTTCCTTTGTCTGCCTTTTTTGCATTGTGTTAGATTGGATGCTAAAAACTGCAAACGTATCAATCTTGGCGGATGCCAGGCAGCTGTGTATCTTCAGCGCCTTCTGCAGCTGAAATACCCTGGGCATTTTGCTGCCATCACTCTCAGCCGCATGGAGGAAATACTGCATGAACACAGCTATATTGCAGAGGATTATATAGAAGGTAAGGCTGGGTGTAAATCATAACCACACAATTTTAATTCAAGTTTGATCCTGTCCTCTACCTCATTGTCAGATAGACAGAATTCTCCTTTTACTGAGATTCTGACATTCTTCATATATAAAGTAGTTAAGCCTTCATGGCTTCCTCTCCATTAGTCCAGCTTGTAGAACATGTGGGACAACAGTTTCATAGCAGTCCATAAAGGAGAGTCCATAAAATAGAGAAAATTTAAAGTAATGTTTATCAAGATAAAACTCACGTGCTATGTTAAAAACATTTTCTTGTTAGTTTAAAATCCCTCTGTTACTAATAACTGGGATTATTTCAAATGGGTAAATTTTAAAATCAAATTTTACTTTTTATCATTTCTTTACTGCTAGCATTGGGTGAAAATAGATTGGTCAGCTTCACTTCTGTTTCTGATCTGGTTCATTCTCTGCTTCTCATGTATCCATAATACATTTCTATCAGGTTAGGGCTACTAGCATTTCAGAGAATGAATCTGATAGACTGATGCACACAATCTTGCAGAGGGGCCCTAAAATGTAGTAGCTAAGCTAGAAATCACTCTAGACATCTTGCAAAGAAGGATAAATTCAAAGGATGGGAACTTTTTAGAAGAATTTTATTTATATATTTTTGTGTTTAAAAAATACTACTTCAGGAAAAAAATCCTGCGCAGTAAAAGAGTCTGCAAGGGACTGTGGAAATGCAGGGAGACATGCAACCTGGGCAGAAGGGCTTTAAGAATGAATTAGGGCCCTGTTCACCACTCCTCTATTTCATGCTTTTTGCATTCTAGAGCTCAGGATGCAGTGAGACAGACTGGAAGAAACTTGATCTGAGTATGCAATCTAATGCTCTTGCATTCAGTAGGTGCTACTTTGAGGGGGCAGCTAACAGGGAACGATGCTTGGCTAGGCAGTAGAGAAGGGTCCCAAACTAGATTGCTGCTTCTTACAGTGTTCTTTAATGTGGGAATTTGCAGAACGGGGTGTGGACAAGATAAAGTCTCAGCCTGGCAAATAGATTATTTGCTTTAAAAATATTCCCACAGAGCTGCAGAAGTGGAGGTCTCCTGAGTACTACGAGAGCAACGTGCACAAGATGCAGCTGCCCTTCTCCAGCAAACTCCTCGGTAGCACCCTGACATCGGAGGAGAAGCAGGAGAGGCGGCAGCAGCAGCTACGTAGGCTCCAAGAGCTTAATGCACGCCGGCGGGAGGAGAAACTGCAGCTTGACCAAGAGAGGCTGGACAGGTTGCTCTATGTGCAGGTAGATATGGAAGATGTGTTTGGGGGTGGAGGGTACTGCTCTCAGAGCCCTAATAGCCTGGGAATGTTTCTGGCACTGTTTCACATACAGCACATTGAAGACTTAGCAGTTACCCTGTTAAGGCAACAAGTCTGCATCACAACAGATGGACTTGTGTGTTATTTACAGCAGCAAGGGGACATGTCCAGTGCCTTTCGCTGCACTTCTAACTGTCCTGCACTGTTGGCAACCACTACCTACTTATTGGGGGGATCTCTCTGCAGGAACTGCTAGAAGATGGTCAGATGGATCAGTTTCACAAAGCTTTGGTTGAACTGAACATGGACTCCGCAGAGGAACTGCAATCATACATCCACAAGCTGAGTCTGGCCATTGAACAAACCAAGCAGAAGATCCTACAGGCAGAAGTCAGCATTGAAGTGGATGTTGTGGATAGCAAACCAGAGGTACGGCATTGAAGCCAGGTTACTTCTGTTACTACATGTAATACACTCAAAATTACATATCCTGAGAGTGTCTCCATTCTCTAAACTATTCTTGTAACTGAACGGCTCTTCCCTTTAGCAACTTGCAACTCCCTATTGATTTGATTACTGCTGCCCTTCCCCACTGCCACCCCTCTTCCCACCTGGCTATGAGTAGGTCTGGAGCTGGCTTTGTGGTTTTGCCTGAAATTCACAACTCTTGCTATGTTCAGCACCCAGTACCCTCACACATCTCTTAGGTGACTGTTTAGATTTATATTCCAGTACAAAAATCAGATCAGCCATCCTGACACTTAGTTAAACTGTACAATTATCTGGGATGAACATGCTTCCCTGGTTCCTCCCAGAGCCAATTAGGAGGGTGGGGGAAGGAGAAAGTATCTTCATTGGGATTGGGGCAAGAGCAGTCAGAGGGGATGAATGTTTTCCTTTCCTTCTTTTCAACACATGCTCTAAGCAGCACCTATAACTTAGTATCGTTATACAATGTATCCCCATTTGCAGCACCTAGCACCACCTTCTCTCCTCCTCCTTTGTACTCCAGACACAGCACTGGGCCGAACCCTACCCATAAAAAAATTAGGAATAATGTATTATTAGATTTATGAAATATGAGTAAAAGTGTCCATACCATGTTCTGGGTATCTTCACATAATTAATTTCCACAGTAATATCAACATGGACTGGCCATCCCACTCACAGATAAATGAACATCAACAGACATAATAAGAATCAGGCCCCTCCAACCATACCTAAATTGATGGGTCTTACACCATGCCGGGAAGGTTAACAAATCTGGGCTATTTTGGACCAAAGGGTGGACCGAGTTCCAAAAGTTGAGGGGTTGTTATGGAGAGCACCTTGTTCCAACTCCTTATTGGTAGTGAGGGTGCTCAATCTCAAGCACCTTTGCTGATCTCTACTGCGGCAGCATGGCACGGGCACAGAAGTAGACCCAAGTGACCAAACTATTTAGGACTGTACAGGTTGAAACTAACAACTTGAATTCTACCCAGAAACTTATTGGTAGCCAGTGCAGATCCCAGAGCGCTGGTGTGAGACTCCAAGTAATTGGCCTGCCACCTTCTACACGAGCTTTAATTTGGGAGTGGTTTCATGATGAAGTCCCAATTAGTGCATGTCTCAGCAATCAGATGTTGAGGTGATCAAGGCATGGAAAATTTGTGACACAGTCCCTGCATGAGAGAGAAGAGTCTCACTCGTCTCACCATTTACGGGTGAAAAAAGTGATCTTGACTGTCACTGCTGCCTGCCCACCCAAGACCAACCCAGGATCTACTAATATAAAGATGGCACACCTGGTGACTGCACTTTCTCAGTTAGGGGTGCTGATAGGAGCTTCACTGATTCCCCTGGCTGACTTTTTCCCTAACCCACTAATATACTCAGTCTTGTCCAGACTGAGTCTCAGCCGGCTAGCCCGCATCTGAGCTCCAAATTCGAGAGAGTTGGTTATTTCTTTAGTATACCACACAGGTCAGACACGATGGAGATGTAGAGCTGGGTGTCATTGCCATACTGAACACTTCAGTCCCATGTTCCTTCATTAATCCTGCCAACGGTGGTGCTCGTTGACAGGAAGGATGATAAAATAGACTCCTGTGATACCCTGTTTCAGAAGGCCTGAGGGGGGCAATTGCCCCCCAAATCTGCTCAGAAAGATTGGAATGGAGAGCCTGTCTATCCTAAGGGAATAAAAGCCAGGATTCAGGAATGGTTAATTACATCGTGTACCATGTGCTGTGCCTGTGGCCATCCGGCAACTGGCCCACATTTTCCTATCTTTTGCTACTTTCTTCCCTCTTGGGTATTTGTCTTATTTTGTCTTTTTAAAAGAAGCCTAAATGTTTAACAGATCTTCAGCTAACAGCATCCATCTAAAATTAACTCTTCCCAAAAACATAGGATGTCATTTAAGACTTTTGAGTGAGGGTTTTTTTTTTTTTAATTCCTCTCTTCCCATTTTAAAAAGGGAATGAGGGGATTTGTTAACATACTCAGACCATTTAAAACTTAACTTTTTTCCCGTTGTTTGCTCAGTGTTTCAAAATAGCCTGTTTGGTGTACAACAGGCAAAGCCGAGTCCTCTGCAACAAACCCCAAACCCAAATTACTGTTTATTGTAGAAGTAAATGAGGTAATTTAAAAAGTTACCCTAAAAATCTTTCCCAGTTCTCAAGAGTATTCTAGGATCATGGCTAAAGGTATCATTGCTCAGCAAAGAGCTTTGGAGCCATGACCATCCCTATGTCTGACAGAATGTCCTTGTGGCCTTTTTGGCACAACACACCCAGACTGTTGCTTGTCTGAAACTAGGCAACTCCAAGACTCATGTGGCAGCTATGTAGCCAGTAAGTGTTTATTTTCCAGGCCCACACAAACAAGGTGAGGAACTGTGGTAATTATAGAGCAGTTAAAATCTGGTGCATTTCCAGTTCTTTTAACTGGTCTTAAAAACCTATTTTAATAAGATTTAATGTAGACTTTGGATAGCAGAGACCCTTTCTTCTAACAAGGCTAATTCAGGGGGATGGGTGGTCAGTCTGTTGAATAGGAGGCTTAATGTGCGAGTTGGCATCTTGATCAGGAGTTAAAGGGCTTTGTGGAATTTAGTGTGTGTGTGTGTGTGTATGTATGTATAATAATATAATATTGTTCCCTGGTTTGGGTTTCTCTTCAGTGCCTGAGAATTTTTAATGCTTGTGTAAGCATATTGCAGAGATGAGGTTTCAGGCAGCAGGGCAGGATCAGGCTAACAGGCCATTGTTTCATCAGAATCCCAGCCTGTTATAGACTGTTATCAGAGCTAAGGTCACCGAAATAACTGATCCTCTTGGTTTCCTTTCCCAGACCCTGGACCTGGACCCTTTGGGCAGTGAACAGTCCCTGGAGGATGTGGAAAGCATTCATGAGTTTGAGCCTTTGTTTGCTGAGGAACAGCCTGAAGTTGAGAAGCCAGTTACCACAGTGGAGGTGTGACTCTTTATAATCTTTCTTCGCTTCATGGGGATTGCCCTACCAGTCGAGACCAATTGTCCAGTGGGTCTACTATCCTAGCTCAATAGCAGCCAGTGCTGGATGCATTAGAGAAAGGTTACTCGTCCCCTGGAACGTTAGGCTATGGAGGAAACTTCTTCCCAACCACAGTTGATCAGTTATATTCTGGTGCATGAGGATTGATGGCCCTTGCGATTTTTTTGTCCTAGCTAATGTAGCTGCCCATACTTATTCAAAAAGAGTAATCATACTTTGAAATTTACTGTTTGCCTCTGCAGCCACAATTAAATAATAGAGGCATGCTAGAACTTTGCATGGTTCAGCTGACTGATTTGTGACTGGTGTGCAGCCAAGAAACTAAATGAAAAGACTCTGATCTTTTTTTTTACTCCATTAAAAAGATGAACATTAGTGAGGAGAAATGTTTTACAGCTTGTAAGAGTCTCTTATAAACAATGGTTCATTAGAAAGAAATATTAAATGTTTGAAAAATAGAATTGATGGTTGTCCTCTTGCGGTGAGCTTGATACATTGCACAGATGCTTTAATTTCATTCTTTATGAAGATGTCCTTCAAGCAAGTGAGACTTGGCTGCTAGCATTGTAGCTGACTGGGCTTCTTGCTACCAGTTTAACTCTGTTCACACTAGAAACACAAACATGTTCGCTACGACAGTATGTCAATGTAGCTTTTGCTAGCAGCGTTCTGGCATTGTTTCCCTCAACAACATAGGCAGGGATTTTTTTTTTCCCCCTGAGAAATTTTAATATAAAATGGTGCTAACAGGCTGTTACCCTACGTCAGGTGCTGGTCTATAGCACAGTTCTGCTAGCAGCTTTGTCAGAAAAAGGTCCCTGTTGATGTTGGTGAGGCAAACAGCACTAAAGCTCTACTAACACGGCTCTGTTACCAGTGACTTTAGCCATATCTAAAAAGGGCAAACAACCTTGCTTAGCTGACTTTTACAATAGAATCTGGCTCGGTAGCATGGATGGGGATAAACCCAGTCCTAACAGGCTAGACCGCAGCACCAGCCTATGTCTCTATTAGGCTCTTGTCTGCATTAGCCTTGTTTTTTCATTTGACTGTTGCTGCCACTGATGCCACTGCTGGTAGCAACAGTGAGAGCACTAGTATAGACAAGGCCCCAGTGGAGGTTTTAACAAAATAATATGACTTGTAACCTTGCTTAGGGCAGACCTATGTGAAACGGTGGCTTAAAAGTATGGGCAACCATTAGTGCCTTTGAGCTCAAATTGTAACAACAGTAAGAAAAAGGTCCAGTATAGATGCAGCCTGTTTGTGCTGAAGCCTGGCTTTATAACATGATTTGGCCCTGCCCACACTGGCTGGCCAAACCATGTTACAACCTGGCTTGCCCAGAACTGTACTGAAAGCGTGGTTGTCTAACCTCTGCCCTGTGTAGCTGGTGCCTTTGTAATCCATTTAAGCAGCAATCTGCTGGGAAAATAGGAAACAGGGAAACAAAGTATATAGTGATTATGGATTACAACACTGATTTGCCTGATGGTCCCTTCTGGTTTGTCTGTCCCTAAAATCTCAGGGCTTCAGCCAGTCACCTTCAAGGGTCAGGAAGGGATTTCCTCCCCCCAATGTAACCTGGATTCTTTTTGTCTCCTTCCTCTGAAGCATCAGAGATGGCCATAGCCCAGGCACTGGATGGGGATTACCAGTGCTCTCAGATGGTACTGAGCATTCTCTTTCTCAGGTGCTTGGCTGGCTAGTTCTTGTTCATGTGGTCCAGGTCTAACTGATTGCTATATATGACCTGTTGGGGGGGTAGGGGGAGGCAAGGTGGGGTTGCCACCTTCAGTCTGGGATGCAGGTCTCTTGCCAGGATAATCGGAGTATACCTCACTTAATTCCCTGCCATTGCAGAAACCTCAAATTTGGTGCACCTCAGTACATCCTATTCTCTGCCTATGGCACACAATAGTTTAGTCTTCTGAGGGCTATAATATCTTGGTGTAACTTCAGTTGTTGAGTTTTGTGTGCCTGTGCCAGGTGGTGTTGGTGGCCTGTGATGTATAGGAGATCAGAATAAATTATCTGGTTGTCCCTTCTGGGCTTAAATTCTAGGACTCTGACACTGTAGTCCCCCAACATGATTAAAACACACTTTGGCCTTGCAATGTAGATAGAACGGAACCATGATTCAACCATATTGAATATGTTCTACAGACCTGCAAGGCTCAAGTCCTATTGCACTGTAGGAATACAGGTAAAACATGAGTTAGTCCTATCTATGCTGCCAAGTCAAACTGTGTGTGAACTGTCAGGGCACTGGTGTTTTGTAATCAGGTCCCACAACATAGTAGTTAGGGAGGCATACTTTGAGGGAGGGGAAAACATAGTGGGAAAAGATAAGTAATATTTAATGTTTTATATTTAAAGCCCGTGTTTAACCTGGCAGAGTACCACCAGCTTTTTCTTGGTACGGAGAGAATCCGGGTTCCAGAAATTCTCTTCCAACCCTCTCTGATAGGAGAAGAGCAGGCAGGCATAGCAGAAACCATGCAGTACGTCCTGGACAGGTGAGTAAGCAAAACTGCATGGCTCCCTGTGGACTTTGTTTGTGGAAATGGAATTAACTCCCTTAGGCTAAACTGAAAACAGATTAAGGGCCCAATCCCACTAAAATTCACTTTGGTCTGGGCATCTAACTCCCTTAAATTCCTCTGAAAATCTTCATCTTAGTTTTGAATTTCAGCTCTCACCATTTGGGTCAAAATAGCTGCTTGCTTGACAGCAAAGGTATTCAAATCCGCTTTTCTTTTGCCGGCCTTAGTTGATCCACAATGCTCCATGTGGCCTTTGTGTTCTGGATTGAATAGTTAGTAACCGAGTAACAATCCTGTGCTAGCCTAAGTAGATACAGATGCCAGCAATAGCCCCTTGTTGGAATCTGAATCATGACACTACAACCTGGAGTGGGTCAGGATTAGAATAGCCAAGGGGCTTGCAAATCTGTGTAGAGTAGTGGTTCCCAAACTTGTTCCGTCGCTTGTGCAGGGAAAGCCCCTGGCGGGCCGGGCTGGTTTGTTTACCTGCGCGTCCGCAGGTTCGGCCGATCGCGGCTCCCAGTGGCCGCGGTTCTCTGCTCCAGGCCAATGGGAGCTGCTGGAAGCGG